CTCTGTGCCAGTCGTTGTATCCCAGAGTTTAATAGTACTGTCGCGCGAGCCTGATGCCAGAGTACGCCCATCGGGTGAGAAGGCCACTGAATAGACCCTATCTGAATGGCCCTCAAGTGTCTGTAAGATTGGGCTCCAAGAATCCTCTAAAACCGGTAGACTTTGTAACTGCCTTACTACTTCGCTAAGAAAAGTCTTTTTTACAATACTTTGGCCAGGTGCAAACACCAGTCCGGAGCCGTAGAGTTGAAGTGGAGCAATACCAGCTATATAAGTATTTTGAAGAGTAAACCTTTTTGCATCATAGAGAAAGTCTGAAATCTCAGTACTGATACTTGTCTATAATATATATCAGCCACTATTTAACTATAGAACTCAAAGAGACTCACCCATGTACTTGACTTCAGTGTATCTATTATTCTCACTGCATCAGATATACTTCCAATTAAAGCTAGTGCCTCCAACCAGTGAAGAAACTGCTTTTTAAGAAAAGTGAGGATCTCAGATTGAGATATACGACCTGTACTCTCCTTTAGATGATACACCCAGTAGCGGCAGGAGTATTGTAGATCAGGTGTGAGGTACTGGCTAATAACCCGAGGATCGATATCCTCGCGCTGTGTTCCGTAACTTGCGAGGTCGCAGATATTGTGTTTCAGCCGAGTATCCATAGCTCGGAGACAATGCGAGGCTATTTTCCCATGGGTCTTTTGCTCATGGATATGGAATAAGCTTTCTGTGACTAGGAGATAGTCTCGAAAAGATAAGTGCAGGATGCGCACTGGAGCCTCTCTGTCATGTGGTATATTGAGCACTGAATGTAAATGATCCAAAAGCTCACTTATCTCCTGTGCTGATATTTTCAGCAGCAGGGCCAGAGATTCAATAGAGAGTGGGGTAGCAAGAAGAATAATAACCCCGACAATGTCATGGAATTCATGCACGAGCTCCTTGGAGTCTTCTTTATTATCGCCTATAAGTCGATTCAGAATCGGTAGATATATTTTATCCATCTGAGTTGTAGTTGTAGTTGCTTGAAATTCAAGAAATTTCTGGAGCTGCTTTTGTGGATGTGTCCCTTCGTTGATAAAACGACATACCGTTGCCGCGAAGATGAATAATGGAACAGCCATCCGCACTAGCTTTTCTCTATTGTTATCCCCCGGCCAATCTGGGGGAAGTGAGCGCCTATGTTGTATTTCCGAAAGCTTAAAGTCTAGAAACACGCGAATATCATTTTCAATCACTGGCTTAGGCAGCTCATGAAGAATCAGGTCCTGATAGTTCTTGTTATCCCTGAAGCCAAGGCGAATTGGGAGTTCAGGTCTGCTGGTCAGGAGCACTCGCAGATGTACAGATTGAATTTCCTGCAATTTGAACAAGAGGTCAAGTATCACTTTTATATCCTCTTCTCCATCGCATTCATCCAAGGCATCAATAATAATCATAATTGTGGTAGATTGGTTTGGACATAGCTTCATAAGGGGTTGATAAAGAAGCTTGTTAAACTGTTCACCAAGTGATTTAGAAACGATGTTCAAATCATTCTCAATAGCATTTAAGACATCAGGTACTAGTCGCCGGTGCCTAGTTACTAGTTGTCTTGTAATAGTTGATATCAAGCGTTTCGCATTACCACGGTCGGCTTCGCCTCGCTTGAAAAAGAATGTGGCGCCGAGTAGTTCTTGCTCTTGGAAAGATCGAGCGACCGTCCGTGCAATAGTGGACTTTCCTGTCCCTGCCATTCCATTCAACCAAAATATAAATTTACCCTCTGATTCAGCCCACTCCAAGATCTGGCGAAGAAGATCTGTTCTGGTCTCCGGGAGGCAGAAGTCCTCGTGTTGATTGACAAAGGAGTCAAAAAATGCTCCTTCCGCGACAGGCAAATTCTTGAAGCCAGACTGTTCACTAAGCTGCTTCATAGATTTTGCAAGTTCATCAATCTCGCAAAGGATTTTTTCTGCGTCCTTTTCGCGCTGGAGATACTCGCAGAGTTCAATCCACTTATGCAGGCTATCTCTTTCCTTTTCAACTAACGTCTTAAGCTCAGTGAGCGGGTGCTCAGTGATGGCGGTGATGCAGTCCAGCAGTTTTTTTGTCTTGCTAGCACTTCGGGCCTTCTGCACCAGCGCTGTATAGTGAAGGATTGCTATGTAGAGCCGGACCAATGGACTTTCCAAGTCTTCCGGGTTACTGGACTTGCCCTCACGATAAAACTTCAGCTCGATAAAGGCACATTGTGTGAGAACATCTGCCAGGTAATCCGATGATTCGAATAGGGCATCCCGTTGGTCACAATGATTTTTAGTCATCTATATTTCCAATCGCGCATTTAGTCAGCCGTTTCTATCATCTGCCGGGAGATGTAACATACCGTCAACCCCAGTGACACGATTGCCCAAGCACTAGCTGCATGCTGAGTAGGATCAAAGGTCGCAGCTGCGCCAATAATATCCTTGAAAGATAGCGCTGCATTGAGGATATTCCTGGAGCATGTCCGAATATTTCCATTGATATTCTGTCGATATTTTTCGCATTGCTCTTTGATCAAATAGATAACCTCACCAATTAAGTCCTCTGTTCGGGTTTGATTTTCCTTATCAATGGGGTTCGCAGTGACTTTAACCGTCGCTAAAATCCTCTGCTTCTCTTCACCTAGCTGATCATAGGCAATCTGCCACAAGTCCTGCGGTTTAAAGGGCTCAATTGACTGGGTAGTCCGGATAGTGGATGGGCAAGATGGCGGTGGTGGTAGGCTGTTGGCCTTGCTCTCTTTCTGGTCTCCAAATAATTTATGCGGTAGCTTTCGAAACGGCATCTTTGATCATTTGCCAGGGCTTTAAAAATAATTGAAGTAAAGTCGGAGATTGTGAAAGTGGAAAAACCCAGCTAATATTATACTTTCTCTATTTCATATTCTCACAATCGATACTCCGCACTTCAATGTGCTGGCGCGGCTGAACAACAAGGATATGGCAATTTAATCAACCAATCATAGCCAACAGGAAGAGAAAATCTTCACAAGTGCATCTTTGCTTCTAACAATATTAAACAGCACTGAGAGTTAATCCAGGGCGCTATTCGGTAACAAATATAAGCCCAAACAAGTAAAGCTGCCTGCGAACTAACCTACGTTCTATGGTCTTGCCAATAACAAGGTGACTTTGTATCTGCCAGGAATCTTAACATCGGCCTGGACCGGCCTTTCTGAACCAAGAACTCTGTTGTCTGCCTAATTGTGTCTTTAGTAAGCAGACCCACACGCCGAAGAAGCACCGGTAAAATATACAAGATCTGGTTATAATATATTGGTATATTTACAATACATACAAGGAATAATAATACTCCGAAAGACATCTAAAAATAGGTTAGCTTAGATTAGAGTTAGGGTTATCAAAAGAATCAAAGAGTGTAAGTGGTGACACCGGTATCCGGACACTCTGTACTCAAAAGGGTGTACTCTTGTCACGAGCGTTCCAGGGCTCAACTGATGCAGGTGTTTTTGAGGATTTCATCGAACAACTTCAGCACTGTAGCAAATGGCCGGCGCCAAAGTCCATAATTACTATGGACAATGCATCCTTTCACCGTACTAAGCGAATTGAACAGATGTGCCTAGATACGGAAGTTAAAATGCTGTTTCTACTCCCCGGATTTTAATCCTATTAAGTTCTTCGCTGAGCTGAAACAATTCATTAAGCGGAGGTGGAATAAGTATAAAGAAAACCCATGTCAAGGTTTCGATGCGTTTCTCGAGTGGTATATTATAGTCTCTCTTTCCCGGCCCCACCGCCAAGTCTTTAGCGCAGATCATTTATTGAGCGTGCCGCATCAAACAGAGGGGGCTCAGTAAATAGCGCTATGTACGTTACGGTAATATGGATATAGAATTACATCACGCGTATGGAAAGAAAGCCAAGGAATTCCATGCAATTCTATGGGGGGTCTCTGCAAATCATATGGGGAAGGCTACCGGACTCTCATTGAATTTGAGTGCATGATAAATTGCCTTGCGTATGTTACTTTAACATGCGACGTGAGATTCCTCTAGACGTACGAATAGAAAATTCATGGAATTCCACGGCCACCTATGATAGATCTCTGCAGACGATGTGGGTAAGGCCGCACACCTTTTGACTGGATGGTCTGCTGATTGACTTCGATTCTCCTTCTCAGCCTGTACAGCATACGCTAGTCATCACCTTTCAGAGGTGTCCCTGGCTCAGACAATCTGATGACGAATGACATCATCGGGAAATCACCACAGTACTGCATCGACCAGGGTTCTGTTCTTACGCACGAACAACAGCATTTTCATCAGCCGATGGCGTAGGCTTGAACATGTTCAAGTCAGCTTACTGTTTCTTGACATTAGGGTCTGAGAAACACTGAAACATTGCTGGTGAGGCCGATTTCCGGAAGTCCTGTACCAGAACTGTGGCTACACATGATGTTTCGGCTAGGAGCAAGAGACATTTTCTCCCTTCGTTAACGGGATGTGATTAGGATTATGTCCACCAGAAAAACAACGCAGTCATTCCCATGGCCTGGACAGCTGTAAGCCAAGCACCGATCGCAACCCCAGTCGGATGGTCTCCCGTCTTAAATGAATAGATTCCAGCGACCAAACCACTGGGGAGGAGAAAGAGGAACATGAAAGCTGCAAACAGCGGCCAGTCTGGTCGTTCTTCAATATGAATACCCCATCCTTGGGCCATTGGGGTTAGGCCAGGACCAATTTTCCAAGGCAGGCGCATGACCACATTGAATCAGGATGTTTTGACGCAGGGGCGTAAAAATGATGGAAGAACGTCCGATTGTCGATAAGCGGGTCATCGATTGGGCACGGCATGTACGTATAATTTCCGGCTCTTACTTCTGTCTCGGGAGGTATGGAAGGCCTGTCTATTGAGCCGGCGATTGAGGAAACAAGTGGTCTTTTTCCTAGCCGGAACTGAGTAAAAAGTCAGATTGAGAGAGAATTGTACTAGAGAGTATGTTAAGTTTATGCAACTTGCCTTAATGAATATCGCCCTCTCGGGTTTTCTGAACCGCAATCGCATTGGCAACAGTGAATGGCGGGCATTCTCGTACTTTTTCCGGATCTTTTCGAACAGCAGTCCGTCACTAATGCGTTGGCCCAGGTCAAGTTCGTTCAGCTCTAATTCGAATTTCCCAGTCTCTATGCAAAGCTGAAGAGCTTGTCGCTGTGCAGGTCCGGAAGCGGAAGAATCTCTGGTTGTTGCACTGTTTTCTGGGTCATTTGAGTTACTACTCCCGCTACTTCGTGGCAGGTTCCAGCCCACGGGCGAAGTGGTAGGTCTCGAATGCGCTTTTGTTGAGGTTCCTCGTGATGTTAGAACTTTACGCTGCAACCCTCGGCCAGAGTGCTCGCTTAACATTGCCGCTAGTCTATCAATTGATCCAGGCGTTGTTTCCTTAAAGTCGCCGTAGAGAAGCTCACCGCATGCCTAAGTTGTATTAGTTCAAGAACAAAGAGGTTTAAGAATTTTCTTACACAACGCCACTCCAATCTCCTGTATCCGGAGCGCGGCCGCGGCCTTAGAAGTCTATGAAAAACTTGCCAAGGAAGTTTCAGCAGGGTCCAGGTGTAACTTGACCTCACAGGTGCCGGTCCGACGTTCGAATTTCCAAAGCTAGCTTGTGTGCGGACAGCACTTTCCACTTCGGTATATGCGGGAGGCGGAGTCGAATTTTGCTCTTCCAAAAGTGTCAATGAATCTTTCAAGCGTCCAATCTCCTCATCGTACAGACGCAGACGTTCTTCGAGGGCGCTCCTTTGGGATTTCAATTCCGAGACTTGAGCTTCGTTATCCTTCAATCGTCCTTCAAACTTGTGCAGCTCAGCATTTTTGATTCCAAATTTCCCCTCGTTTCGTCTCGCAGTTCTTCACATGACAGGAATAAGCAACTGTATTGACCAGCTCACAGACTTCTTACCTGACTGCCTTCCAATGGTGTGAATGGTATATTTCTATACAATTTAGCAGTGAACGCGCTGATCGGCAATAAGGCACCTACGTGTATAACAGTGCCAAAGGATGTGTCAGCGTTGTCTGCTAGTGTGTCTCGCGCGGTTGTGGTACTGTTGATCTGATCGACTGCAACCACCAAGAGAAGCTCTTTCGCATAAGCCGCCGCCACTGCGGCTGCATACCCTTGCCATTCCTTATTCTTGTGCGAGTCGGCGTAGTCGCAGATGCCCCGAATGACAAGGCACGGAAATTCATCCATAAGTCCGGCCGCTTCCATCTCGATACAATATATACCTAAGTCCCGAGCCAGCTGATCTCGCCGCCTGCCATCTTTCACAATCTGATTTGCAGATCCGATGAGTCCGTAGTGAATTTCTGGTCCTTGGTCCTCTCGTGGCGGTCGTGGAACCAGTTTAGATCGATCGCAGTTGGTACACGTATCAGATGCGACATGCTCATATTCTGCTTGGAATAGATAGTCCTCCTGCGTCGGTCGCGTGAATTTGCTAGCTTTGTGAGGTGCAAGTTTGGCTTGCATGTCGGAAACAGATTCGACGATCCAGCTACCTCTCATGAGGTGGTGTGCTCGGAGAGTCGTAAGAGCGACCCGCAGAACCGTAGGAAGTTGATTAAGTATTCCAGTTCGCTTGAATTGGCCGCCGCTTAGCGCTTTACCTAGATCCAACTGGATAACGCCTCCGGAAGTGCCCATCGGCTGGCTCACTACAATATCCCCAAGTCGAATGTCTGCATTGCTGCTTGGTACTCCGCCACCGATACCAACCATTAAACCAAAGCGGATAGCGTGGAAACTAGACAGCAACTGTATCCCAACCGTTGCTGCTGATGTATTGCCATATGCGCCAGTCGGTAAACTAGCAATAACGACGTTATGTTGCCCGATGCTTCCAAAAATGTATGTATTTTGGTCCTTCGGCAGGCGAGGCAAAGGTGGGTGAATATCGTCCAACATCAGCTTCGCAGCCGTGGTCTCCACCGGCAAGGCACATATCCACCCGACCGTATAATCGTCGTGAGATCGGGTCCGGGGATCCATCGTGGAGTGACTCTACTGCGATCGGATTGGGCGTTATGATTTATAACCTGTCCATTTGTGGATAATATGAGAGAAAAAATGATATGGTCAAGCGGAGGTTGTTAGATCAATGTGAGGAGTTTGTCAGGAGAAGGCGGGGTTGAGCTGAGGCGCCACACAGGGTTGTAGATAAGTGCACATGCCCTTGGCATTACTGTGTGGAAGAATTGAGAGTGGTTGTGGTTTCGGTCCGCCCACGCGTAGTACGTACTGTTCTGCTGGCATTAAACTTCGAGAATGGGTCATCTCAAGCCGGCTCGGTCCGCTCCCACCGTCTAACAATCCACCTATACAGTATCGGTGTGAGGGGAAGGGGGCGGGCAGATACTGTATCAAAGAACCAGGCCTAGTCGGCTCTCTTCGATTATTAGAGATCTACTCTGGGGTTTCATGGAAGTCGATGGAATCCCCATAAGACCGGTGTATTATTACCTCGCTAGATACCGTATCATACCTGCATTTTACAGCGGCCCTCAACTAGGTGTGACCAGGGCAATGACTGATCCACGTTAAGGTCTTGGCGGTGGGGCCAGAAGAGTGTAAGTGTGTATCGGTCAAGGCGATTTCGAGAACGACTGTAGTTTTGTTGGCTCTAGAGTGCAGAGTGCCGAAGGCCACTTTCGGCATGCAGGTGTCATGATTGAAAAATATAAATAGCGTACTCTCAATGTATAAATCACATTAAATACAAAAGCAGAGAAAGAGTCAAAACAAGAACCAGTTATTCACAAGTCTTAGCAATGGACGATTTTCACCCATTGACATTACAATTATAGTTGTTTGCCCAGTATCTAATATCCTTGACGAATCGGCGTGCAATACCCCATTTCACACCCCGATCCTTGAAATACCCAGGGTCATTCAGTTCATCAATCTGGTCCAGATCTAATCCATCATCTAGAGCCACGTCACACGCTTTTTGAAACTCGACCTTCCACGACTCATTCCCAACTTGTGATTGGTGCCAGTCACAGTATGCTTGAACGTTGCCATCACGAATGCCTGCTATATTAAACCGCGAAGCCTTGGCTGAATGAGTAGACGTGCTCTCCGAGGCAGGTGGTGATGATGACAAAGCCTGCTGCGGGGTCTGTGCTGGTAGGATGTTGGTGATGGTGATTGGGGGGTATGTTGACTCTGTTGCAAGACGATTATGGTTCTTTTGCCCTTCAAGGCGCCGCACCCACGGGCTTCCATCATGAGGCAATTGAGGAAATAAAATAGAAAATACCTTCGACACAGCCCCACCAGAGAATCCATAGCAGACAAAAGTTCTGCAGCAGTTGGAGGATCCACAACGGAGTCGATATCCACGAAGGATGGCTGGGATATAACAGTGCAACCTCCCTATAGTTCCTTGGTGCCATTTTGACCGACCTCTTATCCAGATAATCAGCGATATTAGCATCGATGCTGGGATGCTGGAGGAGAGTCGCAGTCAACGATCGATGGCCATGGCATGCTGCCCACCATAGCGCAGTTCGACCCTCCCTGTCACGAATATTTGGGTCAATAGTTGGCTTAGAGAGCAACCAATTCAGATATAAGCGATCCTTGCTAAGGACTGCATGGTGGAGGGGTGTACGCCCGTCCCTATCGGTCGTATTCACGTCGATACTCTCTTCCGCCAGCAGCTCCCGCACTACCAATTTATGTTCCATCCCGATGGTCATCCTTATGGCAAGTGCCAACGGGGTCAGGCCGTCCCGGTCTTTGGTGTTAATGTCAGCGATATCGGTGCCCCAGGACAGGAGCAGTTTGACCACAGGCAGATGTCCTTCTTGGGCGGCAAGATGTAGAGCTGTGGACCCGTACTTGTTGCATGCCGTCGTGTCCACATCGAACTTGACAAGAAGTTCCTGCACGACCACAAGCATTCCATCTTGTGCAGCCTGCAATAAAGGGGTGCATCCGTCATTATCCAGGAGCGACAGATTAACCTGCGGGTGCAGGAGCAGGGCCTCGGCGACACCCTGATTGCCCAACTTGAGGGCTACCTGAAGCGGTGTGTAGCCCTGGCTATCCTCGAGGTTGATGTCAGTGCGGTCATCTGCAAGCAGAAGGCGGACAATCTCTATATGATCACAACATGCTGCCACCGCAATTGGCGTTTGGTGGTGCCTTCTGTCACGGCAATTAACATCGAGGGCTGGAAGCATGAGCAGCTGCTGGACGACCTTAGGGCGATTATTCGCGGCGGCACTCCACAACGCGGTCTGGCCCTGTTGATTCTTCTCACTGATAGCCACAGATGTGAGCGCCATATTCGGCTGCGGTTTGAATTTAGGGTCAGCGTGCCCGGGATCGTAGATCTGGCGCTTCACTTACTGAATTTATTATAAGCCCAGCGAGAAGTGATTATGACTTGTCCTCTGTCTGCCCAGAATGCCAATTAGTTTACTATACTAGCTTGGTCGATCTATTCTCTCCCGGTAATGTTGATCGTTAGCTTTTGTTGTTGAGAGGCTGCACAGATAACTGACCAAGCTAGTAGTAAATCGACTCTGATGTCAACGATCACTAATATATATGTATCGGCAGTCTTTATTAGTGTTAAATACAGCTTTGTTGAAGCTTCACTAGGCTACCAATATAAGCTGATGTCAATTCATATATAGTAAATTGCGAAATGAGCCTGCCCAGCTAATACTATGCTGGTTTGTTTCCGTATATGCTTGGCTTCTATGCCAAGACCATTTTAACTGAATGAAAAAGACTTTGCTAGGCAAGCTGATTTCGCAACTGTATAAACACTGAACTTGCCTACTCAGTAGCGAATAAGAATGTATAAGCTAGCTAGCATATATGTTAACACCTTGATACGGCTAAAACGTTGTTGTTATTACGTATATAGTGTCCGGACAAGACCCTTGCATTTGTTGAAGATAAGGGCCTTGATATTGACATATGTATTCGTTTTCCAGTCCTATTTACATGATCCCCTTAAAATTGCTAGTATGGAATGTTTATACAGGGTCGTGGAACAGAATATGTGTCATTATGGCAGTAACAGGTTATTTTATACTGTAGATCAAGATTGGAATTCCTGTGATATATTACTTAACTTGAACCGCTATACCGCTATAGCTTCTATACTGGTAGCTATTTAAGCTCAGTTCTACTTAAGCTACTCGAGAAATACTAAATTACAAATCGGATATTTGCAATTATAATTGATAAGGCTTTGAACAATAGAATACTGTTAATAAGCCTTCAGGAGGCTATTGTATCTCTAGAGATAACTAGCTATCTACCAGTTGTACAGATTTTTTTCGATATCGGTTTCCGAAATATACTTAGATATTATTCCCAAACCCTATATACTAAGTCACACTAAATCAGAAGAGGATTATGTATAATTATGCGACTCGTTCTATGACATTTGTATAGTATTGAAAAAGTTATATAAATGCAATATTTGTAATTCACATCGAAATGTATCTATTGAGAAGTGTGAGAATTTGGACAAAATATAAAGCTTACTCAGCCTACTAGACCAGATTTTCAAAAACTTACAAGTTCTTTTAACTGTCACTGTCAATCACCAGTTTTAATTCAAAATATCACAAATATTCTAGTAGTACAGTCGGTCTCGAAATTCCTCTGACCTTCAAACACATGACGATTGTTTTCTAGCCCCACCGCCAAGGGCTTAGCGCGAGCCGATTATTTGAGCAATATTCGATACAATACAATCTGTACTGGACATAATTTTTGGAACGGATACGTTTCTATCACGTGTTTAATTATGCACTTATGAGTAGGGATCAAAATATCCAAGCACATGGGACAGTCACATGACTGAGGTACCAGAAAGTTGAACAACCTTTTTTCGCGCCACTTTCTAGAAGGTATCAGTGCTTTGCCACCTACTGAAAGGATAGCCGAAACATCAAGAACTTCCATCATACGACAGATAACTATATAAAGCCCTGTTCTCCCTTACCCTCCTTTTGGAAAGAGATTTTGATAAATAAGAGAGCTAAAAACGTAATCCAGTCTAAGATAGCTTATATAACTGAGAACGTAATTATAGCAACTCTGCCGCTCGTGCTACCAAGTGCGATAATACTATCTTTAACCGTTGAGGAGCTAGGTTGATAATTGGGAGGTAGCCATAGCTCTCTTTGACCCTGAATACTAACCCACCGATCTACTCCCAGAGATACCTCTGTCACTTTTTTGGAGGAATTTGATGAGAAGCTCTCGTAGCAGATTTGGATATCGAAAGATCCTATGTTCGTAGTCAATAGCGGCAGATGCTCTGAAAATTCAATGTTGGTAACAATACCGTCAGTGGTTATGTTATGCTTAAGAGTGCCGGTGGCGGGATCCCATAGCTTGATAGTCTTGTCAAGAGAGCCGGATGCTAGAAGCTGGCCATCACCTGAGAAGACAACT